GGGGGTAACTATGCAACCTTGTTTAATAGAATAATTGCAGAAGGGACAAATGATTTTTTTTATATCTGTTTTTCCTGGCCAAGGGAACTTTATAACGCCTGCCAGAAGGGAGAAGCTGAAAAAGATGGTGAAGGGAATGTGACTGGTCCTCTGTGATCTGATTGGCTTTCCTGACCACAGAGGCCTTGTACAGCTCAGACAGTGGGCTTTGTACTGAACCAGTGATCTTGCTAGCCTGGTTAATGATGCAGGGTAGTTTTGTTTTTTGTTTCATTGTCATGAAACTATACCAGGTTGAAATATTGAAAATGAGGATGGATTCGATCAATGACCTGTAGACCTGTTCAAAAACCTTTTTACTGATACAGAATGCTTTTAGTTTCCTCAGTAAGTGGAGGCGTTGGTGAGACTTTTTGTAAATGTTGTCGACATGCTTGGAGAAGGAAAGGCTATTGTCCAATTCTATGCCGAGATATTTAAAACACTCAACCTGCTCCACTGCTTGGTCTTGAATGATCAAGGGTTTGAGGAAACTGTTACATATTTTACCCCTGCCTGTACAGCAAAGCTCCTTAGTTTTGGTGACATTTAGGGCTAAGGAGTCCTCTGCAAAGGTCTGGACCTGGTTATTTACCACCTGCTCATATCTGATGAGTGCAGATGTGTCAGTCAAGTGAGCCACCAAAGCCATGTCATCTGCATATTACACCAGTGTCATTCCTTCACTGCTGCAGGTTAAATTAGTGTACACAGAAAAAAGAATAGGTGATAAAACACAACCCTGTGGTAGTCCAGTATTTAAAACCAACTTGTTATACCTAAAACCACTGTTAATAACCTGCTGTGGTCTATCCTGTAAAAAACTTTGAATCCATAAAATCAGTTTAGAATCAACGTGAAGCTCTGAAAGACAGTGCAACAAAGTGTTTAAATTCACAGTGTTAAAACAGATGTAAAATCCATAAATAAAATATGAGTGCAGGGGTGTGTGGAGTCCAGTTGCCTTGTGACTTGGTCCAACAGGGTGAGACTGGCGTCCTGAACACTGCGCTGGGCTTTACAGGCAAACTGAAGAGGGTCCAGTTGGTGTGAAATCATACCAGATAGACAGTGAACCACCACTCTCTCCATCAACTTGCACAGTATGGAGGTGAGTGCTACTGGTCTGAAGTCTTTCAGCTCTTTTGCAGAAGTCTGTTTGGGGACTGGGATTATTATAGATTCCTTCCACTGAACTGGAGTACATCCATAGTCCAAATGGTGCTGAAACAGTTCAGTAAAAACTCTGCCTAATAGAGCAGAACAGTCCTTAAGCACCCTGCCTCTAAGTTTATCTGGGCCAGATGCCTTATATGGGTTTATATGACGCAGTAGAGAAGTGACCAGGTGTTCATTTATTCTGATGTGTGAATGTGATGTTGATGTGTGCCATCCTTGGTCACCACATCACCACACTGCAAACTGAGGTCAAAGAAAAACTTAGCTTCCTGTGCAGAAACTGCTCATCTTTTACATCCTCAGCCACAAAGGTCATTGTTGAAATGTGTATTCTTCCTTTGTTTGATTACGGTGATATAATTTATCTCCACGCTTTCAAGTGAAATCTTCAAAAATTAGATTCAATCTATCATTCTGCCATTTGATTTGTTACTAATGCTCCGAAACTCACCACTGTCCATTTTACTCAAGTTTACTGCCTTTCCTTGCAGTCTCATCATAATACCCACTGGCTCTTGTTCATTTATAAAACCCTACTACTGTAGGTGTTTCACCTCCTTATTTAAATCAATTACTACAACAAGAACCCCCCTCAAGATGTAATACCTGTTCCTCCCAACTCCCTACAAGACTGAAAATTCCTAAAACCAAGTCTTCTTTTGGCCTTATACCTTCAGTTTCACTGCTGTAAATGATTGGAACTTTTATCAAAATACACTGCATTATAACACTTTCATTTCTCTTTCTGCCTTTAAACACAGACTGGAAGAGTTTTTTAAAGATTTATGTAACTGTTTTACAGAATAATTGCATTGCTGTATATGTATATGTTGTATATAATGTATATGTTGTTGCCCTTTCCACTTGTTAAGTGTTTTAGCACTTACAGGCGAACATTGTAAATAAGAAACTGTTCTTAATGTTTTGCCTGGTGAAATAAAGTTTAAAAAAAAAAAACTTCTGAACTGGACTCACCTTCTTCCAGTCTTCAGAGGGAACATAGTCCTCATCTTCATCTGACTCTTCCTCAGCATCATTGTGACCTGAAGCAGGAAGTGACCATCAGTAATATAACTCAAACACAACAGACAGGATATCAGGGCAGCACCTACTTTCAAAGTACTTTAGTCTCTGAGGGCGAATCAGCTCTGCAGTGCCAAGGGACCGGACAGAGCGCGTCCGGCCTTCAAATGTGGTCTTGGCCTCGTCCGCCTGTCCTGATGAGGTCTTAAAATCCTCACCCTGAAAGGACAAACACAAGAGATGAGGGCAACATCATCATCATCATCATAATTGTTTATTTATAAAACACTTTAGAAACCAAAGCGCTGTACAGGTACATCAAAACTACAATTAAGAAATAAATAATAATCCAGATAAAAGACTAACAAATAAGCAAGGAAGTCAAAAAACAAAGGCTGGCCTAATAATAAAACAATAAGCAAGAGGATGAAGCAAAATGCAGCGTCTGAGCACTTTTAGCATGAATAAACACTCCCATGAACTTCAGACCAATCACACAAGTTCTTTTTTTTAAGTGAAGAGAAAATAGAGACAGAGAGAAAAACAGAGAAGTAATTAGAAAGAGAGAAAGATAGAGAGATTGAAATAGCGATTAGAAGTATATTAAATATACACCAACAAAACACAGGACCACACACCCAACATCTGTCCGCTCACCTGAAAAATAAATGGATAAATACATGGAGGGCATATATAAAAATACACATACACATACATATGTAAAGATATACATACATACATGCCTACATTCATAAATATTGTCAGTACATACACACGGACATATATACACACTCAGTGACCAGTCAGAACCCCCCGGATCAGAACACCTGTTTGTGAGCAGTTGTGAACATGTGTGTATATACAAGATTTCTCCAATGGAATATTTAATAGTGACTGTGGAGGATCGGAGACCCAACCCCCAAGACACGAGGCAGACYTAGGTAAGACCAGAGCCCAAGATATGTACCAGCTGTAGATGATGAACCAAAGACCGATAAAAGCATGAATAAGCCTCTCAATGGCATTCTGAGGAAGATAATCCTTGAGTTTACTTATAAGTCTCAGATGATAAAAGCTAGACTGAACTACTGCACTGATCTGTTCATTAAATTTAAAATCAGAGTCCAAAGTCACCCCATGATTTCTAACAGACAAAGACCAGACAAAGAGTCCAGTGGTCCAACAGCACTGCTGCATCCTGTCAGTCCATCATGCTACATTCACACCAAACGCATTTTGAGCATCAGGAGTGTCTGGTTTGCATGCAAAGTCAATGGTGGACGCGCATCTAGGGGCGTCTAGAAGCCGAGCAGCATGTCTGGTGTATTTCGAGCAGCACGGATTGAAGTGGTGCATACATCATGAGCGTTTTCCGTGGGTGCGGCACGTCCAAAGCGTCCGACGCTCGAGTTGGAAAATATGAACTTTTGCTGCTCGACACGTCACATCAATCAATCAGAGAGACTCTGCTCAGTGACATACTGGTGAAGAGCCAGAAATACTGGAAGCCCGGGAAATCGGATCACACAAACAATGGAGGGAAAACTGATAGTACGATCATTTATGATCATTCCAGTGTRCATTATCGTGATAGAAATAAAAAGAACTTTACCTGGAGGACAATTAGTGAGGAAGTCAGCATGTTTGGTAAGTTTTCGAAACTACGTTTAAAAGGCTCCTCCTATCGCYTGTTTAAGGAAGCACGTCTACGTTTACATCAAATGCGTCTGTCCTCACTGGACACCAGCGTCGAGATGCGTGCGTTTTGAGATTTTTGGAGGCGTGCGATGCATTTGGTGTGAATGTAGCATTAGGGCTGGGTATTGAAAGGGTTTAAATCGATACTTTCAAAACGGTACCGATTCCTAAACGGTATTTAAATCGGTACTTAAAAATAAAACATACATACACACAGAGGTTTATGAAGCAATGACTATTTCTGAGGCAAAGTCAAACTTGAAATTGACAACATATTAACTTAAAACCATTAATAATTTGTCTTTGCACCAAATATTCTTAAAACATTTGTTGTACAGTGGGGAGAACAAGTATTTGATACACTGTTGATTTTTCAGGTTTTCCCACTTGCAAAGCTTGTAGATGACTGTAATTTTTATCATAGGTACTCTTCAACTGTGACTGATGGAATC